GAGGAAAGAAAAAATTTGAAAAATGGGAAGCTGAGGAACTCTAAAAGGAATTATTTACCAAGGTGGGTAAGGCATAGAACATTCCAGGGTAAATAACAGAGGCTTCATTATGGCCGAGTACCTAACAGGTAAGGAGAAAGAGACGCCTAATCTAGAGAAAGAAGAGGCTGTGAGGAAATGGTAGTCTGAATAGACACTGATGAATGTGGCCACTCTATGCTGACATTTTATGAAGTGAGTTAGGAAAATAAGGCTCTCAGTTGAGACTTAAGTTTCTTCCTTCTCACCTTTGGTTAATATTCCAGAAACACCCATACTAACAGAAGAAAAATGGGAAGGTAGCCACAGATGCAGACAGCCACCCAAAGGACAGAGGAATGTGCAGTGAACCTAATCCAGCAATAAATGATAACTCTTTCCAAGTGTTTGGAATTACTAGGGATACAGCGCAGTTGGTAGAGTGCTTGTCTAGAATTCACTAGTTTGGGTTTGATCCCCAGCACCGCATTAAACCAGGCACAGTGGCACATACCTAGATCTCAGCACTGGGGATTAAGAGGGGTAGAGATAGGAGAATCAAAAGTTCAAGGTTGTCCTTGGCTACACTGTGAGTTCAAGAATGTCCACAGATATGAGACCATAGAGATGGCTCAGTAGTTAAGAGCACGGTTGTTCTTGCAGAAGACCTTGGCTTGAATTCCAGCACCCACATGGCGGCTAACAACCATCAGTAACTCCAGGTCCTGGGGATCTGATGTCTTCTTCTGTCTTCCTTGGACACTGTACAACACAGGTGTACTTATACACATGCAGGAATAACACTCATACACATAAAAATAAATAAATAAGTCAAAAAAATTTAAAAAGAGACCACATCTCAAGAAAACAAAGAGGGTGTCATTATACCTAACAGTAAATTTTAGCTGCTTTTGACATTTTTCTCTCCCTTTGTTCCATCCCTTCCATTTCTTCATTGATGTGAAAAACAAAAACAAAATATTCAACCCTTTAAGTTTTCAAAGATAATATTTCTACATGAAATAAATTATTTTTTAAATATTATATTTATTGTTTTTATTTTATGTGTATGTGTGTATTGCCTGGGTGTAGGTAAATGCACCCGTGTCATGCATTGCCCTCGGAGGTCAGAAGAGGCTGTTGGATCCCCTGGACTGGAGTTACAGACAGTTGTAAGTTGACATATGGGTGCTGAAATTCAAACCCAGATCTTCTACAAGAATAATTGGTGTTCTTAACCGCTGAGCTATCTCTCCAGCCCCATGAAATAAAGTATTTTTAAGAACAAATAAACACTTGTATGTTAAAAAAGTAGAAAACACTTTAGGTTCATACATAAGGAGCCCAAGCTGAGCATTCAGGAAGTCTATCAATCTTTACTGGAAGCACTGACTGACAATTTCTGGAATGAATATATAGTAACAATACTAGAACATTATATAATGGATTGGATTCAATAAAAAATAATATTCAAACACAATTTCTTTCTTCTAAGAATCTGTATAATTGGATAAGTAATAGGATAGAAGCATACATGGTAATTATAATACAGAAATATAAACACAGATATGCAGAAAGTTAAACAGGAAAATCATTTTAGCTTGGTACAAAATATAATTTCAGGCAAAAGTAAAATTGCTAGTCAAAAGAATTATTATTATTATTATTATTATTATTATTGGTCTTTTTGAGACAGGGTCTCCCTGTAGCCCCAGCTGTCCTGGAACTCACTATGTTGACCAGACTGGCCTTGAACTCACAGAGATCCACCTGCCTCTGCCTCCCGAGTACTGGGATTAAAGGTGTGCAAGAATTATTTCTAACTATTACACAACACCTGGAAAGAAGGTGATAACTGCCACCTCAGGAAAAAGAAAGTTCCAAGACTTATTCTATCTCTTACCTCTAGTTTTGATTCACCCCAAGTATAAAGTTTATCTGTATGACTAGTGATCATAAAGGACTTTCTGTACCATATCTGACAGTAGCTGAGACACTGAGGGTGAAGGGATCCTTCACAGGGCTTCACCTACATGGCAAAAGTACAGGTGGTGGGGGCTGGAGAAACGGCTCAGCAGTTAAGAGCACTGGTGCTCTTGCTAGGGCCAGTGTTCACTTCCCAGCACCCACATGGCAATTAACAACCATCCAGTTCCAGGGGATGCAATGCCCTCTTCTGACCTCCACAGACACTGGACGACATGGGTACACTTGTACATATACAGGCAATATACTCATACACATACACTAAAAATAGTAAAATATTTTTAAAAAGTACATAGAGGATCAAGTCTCCATAGAAGGGAAACTGTTTTGTTTGCTTGCCTGACCTTTTCTTTAATTTCAAGGCTTCAACTATCAGGAGGTAGACAGACATGGTTGAAAGGGGACCTCAAAGGATTCTAGTCAGGGAAGGGGTTACAGTTTGCCTTTATAAAATTCCAAAGGTGAGATAGCCAATCTAAATTAACCTCAGGCTGCAGTTCTTCTCTGTCATTTTCCCTTATGTCTACAATTCTGCACATCCCCTGAGGAGAGAAGACTATGTTCAGTTATTATTGTGTTATTTGTTCAACAATATATATTATTAAAATATGACTTCCAGTCTTTTCAGTGAGAATAAATGTAAAATTAGACTGAGTATTCCTCCATCTCAAACTCTGAAATGCCTTGAATTCAAAACTTTCTGAATATGCCATGAAACCACTGTAGCAAATTCCACACTGAACCTCAGGTAGCAGGTTGCTGCTTAAGTACACTAAAAAAAAATGTGCCAGAATGCTCTCAACCCATACTTCTAAGGTGTAGGCTCCTGAGTTTGTATTTAGGCAGGTTCTAGCCTGAGTGAGGACCCTTCTTTCCTTCCTTTCCTTTCCTTTCTCCCCCTTTCCTTCCACACTCTCTTTCCACATTAGATACTCACATACATACATACACAAAAACATAAATGCAATTATTTCTAAAATCTGAAACACTTCTGGTTCCAAACATTTCTGATAAAAGATACAGAGATATAGTTTATAGAGATAAAATCTCTATATTTCTTTCATGTAACTGCATTCCATAGTACAATGCTTCCATATTTATATAAATAATAAAGCCAGCAAATAAACATTTGAGAAAGTTCCCACTACTCATTCACATATACAGTAAAAATTACCTGGGCAAGAAGAAAAAATATTATCAATAATTATTTACCCCATAAAAAGTAAAGCAAAATAAAATAGTAAAGCTTGGAAAATAAAGTAAAATGCTAGAGCTTAAATAATTGTGAGACAAATTAAAAATAATTTGTTTTCATTTATCAGTTTGCCATTTGATATCAATTTTTAGTACAAATCGGCATAAGAAAAAAAGTTGTCTCCTACGGTCAACAGAGCAACATCAAGGCTTTTCCCTTAAAGAGTCTAAGTCACCTAACAGAGAAAGTATCTTTAATTTGTAACCAATAATCACTATAAAAATGAAAAACTATGATCAGTATTAGTGTATTTAGAAAAGACAATGAAACATAAAATTCGTTCATAAAGTTCGTTTTAGAGAGAATTTAACTACAATTATTAAACTCAATTTGTTTACTGAAATCCATTTGTAAAATCTAGCTTACACAGAATATTCTTTCCTTAGCCATGCTAGATAAATTAATCTACTATATTAATCCTGAAAAGAATGATAAATTCTTATGTTTCAAAGGCAGTGCATAAAAATAAACTCAATTTAAAAGTTCCAAGTACCAGTATGCATGTATCACATACACCCACAAGCACACATTCATATAAATAAATACATAAATAAAATTCAAATTGGACATGACCTTTTTGTGATAAACTTCTGTTTTTTAGGTATAGTTCCCTGGAATATTAAATTATATCTGGTATTTATGAGCTAGAGCTGATGAGCATCTTTGTACCATTACCACCAAAGGTATAACAATCTAAGCTATTCAGTTCGACAATATAAAAGGACCTAATTTCATTTTAACCATAGTCATGTTAGAATGAAAACAAATATGATGAGAAATATACATACTGTGAGATTTCCTCACAGTTATCTTTGAAAAGTGGGATACTTACAGTGGTTTTATCAAATTCAGCCTCAGATGATGTTGGTGACAGAGGACTTATGGGGCTTAGAGATGGAGAGCTCTCAACACTAGAGACATATTCAGGATCAGGAACATATAAAACCTGTAAGAAAATAAACAAAAAAATTATAAGTATATTATATTTCATGGCAGGTATAAAAAGGCAAAAAGAAACACTCTAAAACATAATTAAAAAAAAAAAAACCAGATATGTACCAATGTTCACTACAGCAATGCTAACATTGGCGCAAGAGAGCAACAAACTGAGCCTTACTGTGACTACTTAATAATATACAATGTAATGCATCACTCCACAGACAAGGAAATTCTTAGATGGTGCTATGTTTCAATAGAACATTTCCCCAAAATCAAAGACAAATTAAAATAAAAAACAAAACTACTAAGACAGGCGAGACTATTTCTGAAAGTTGCACTTAGGCAACTAACTGCTCCTAAAGAGCAAGTAGAGCTGGAAAGAGCTAACCTTTAAACATACCAGAATTCTATCCATTTATTCAAACTGCTGTAAAGTAAGTTCCTTAAGACTGTATTTGAAAACATAATTTATAAGTTTTCAGCTGTATTAAGAAAAGAATAATACTTTTACATGGCTAATACGATTTCTTCAAAGCATACAAAGTAGTCTTCTCTTCTTTTCAACATTATTACCTATGTTAAATGAATATCCAGTGTTTCTAAATTTCAGCATATTCAAATAATGACAATACCTGTCCAGTAACAACTGCTCTGGAGAATAACTTATTTAACTGAACAAGTTCGTTAGGTGTGGTGTCAAATTTCAGGGCTATGCTATTCAAAGAGTCCCTCGATTCAACCTGTTTAAAAGGAAAATGAAATTATATTAATATGCTACAACAGAAAAACAAAAGTATAAGATTGAATGAATAGCTATATCCAAGAAAACATAAAAAAACTGTAAAACCTAAAAATATTATGATCTCAATTGATTATGATGCAGAGTATACATGGTGTCAAATTTCAGGGCTATGCTATTCAAAGAGTCCCTCGATTCAACCTGTTTAAAAGGAAAATGAAATTATATTAATATGCTACAACAGAAAAACAAAAGTATAAGATTGAATGAATAGCTATATCCAAGAAAACATAAAAAAACTGTAAAACCTAAAAATATTATGATCTCAATTGATTATGATGCAGAGTATACAGTATACA